TCTGGCCAGAGTAGTACCATCGTTTTATTTACATCATCCGATTTTAACAAATTTCACTGAACTAAATTTCAGTATTAATTTATTTGTTTTAATATTTAATTTAATACTATTTTACTAACTTTTTATATACATTTATATTTTAACCATAAATTTAATTTGTACATGTTTTGCATTGTTTTCACTAACAAAGGTCTCTCGTTATTTTCTTAATAATTTTATTACACATTTAATATGCATTCTAATTTTATAAAAATATTTCATGCTATTCTTATTTTCATAGGCTCTGAAGATGGACTTCCCGAAACAGCGCTGTTAGCCTTACCATGTCTATTGTTTTAAATAAATACGAGTTTAATAAATTCAGACTTGTTGAGTGTTCATTAAAGAAAGTCATTAATGCAAAATGGGCATATATCTTCAATGATGTTTATATATATATATATATATATATATATATATATATATATATATATATAATTATTTATAAAGACCACTGCGTTTTCGGCATTATTCAACTTGTAGTCGAGTTTCTCAATTTTTCTAACGAGACTTTTATCGTCTTGATGAAGTTCATCAAGATAACTTCGTTTGTTGCTTTAACATTGCAAATCTTTTTTTTTACAGGATTTGGCCATGTTAAAAAAGTGAAAAGATGAGTAGGGAAATGAATAAAAATCTGTAAAGATGAAAAAAAAATAAAATACACAGTCTTACATCACTGTAATGATTGTTTACATTGGTAGTAAATTTGTAAATAATGTTTATTGCTTAGCACCGACAGTAATAATGATGAGGACGATTATAAAAATACGTTTTTAAATATTGTCAGAGTTCAAAATTCTTCAGTATTCAACACCTGCACCTTAACATGAACAAAATCATTTTTTCATATGTGCACTAGTTATCTCTCAAGCCCAGCTCATTTTTTCCATAAATTACTAATTATGTACACAGGCTTTTTCTCCAATTGTGCCACAATCACAATCAGTTTGGCAGCCTTGCTGTGTTTGACATCAGTAATCACAAAAATTAAAAAAAAATGCATTTTTCTGACAAATTAAAACATAGACTTAAATTAAACAAAACAACCATATACTTAGATTAAAAAGAATTGTGAAATTAACCTGTACACAGTAGTAGTTGATGTATCAACTTTCTCATTGATTATCCTCTGTTTAAACTTGTTGTGCTGCATAAAGATGTTATATTGATCAATTAAATTTGTGCAAATAAATAAAGATAAAAAACCACATGATCCATTCAAGCTAAACATTTTTCAAAAAGTAATGCAAATAAAGCATGCATGTCTCAATGTCTCCAACGATTTTTATTCATCATACTTTTTAAATAAGACTATAACAAAAATGATATTTATCAGCATGTCTATTCTATTTTTTCATTTATTAAAACTTATTACTTTCCATTTATACCTGTTTAAATACGTCACACAGAAAACGAGACAAAATTCTTTTGTCTGATAAATTTAAGTTTTAATCGTTATAGTTAATTTTAGCTACCAATTTATTTATATTTAATTATTTATTTATTACTACATGACTGACCAGAGGGCCACAAAAACCACTTACCCAGTCCAGAAAAAATAAATATTTCAATTAAACGAAAATGGCAAATAGACGAACGAAAACATTAAAAAAAAGTCACGTTATAATTTTTAAAATTGTCATTAATTGAATAACGAACAATTTTTGTTTTTAAACATCTATACTACATACACACGGACTATCCACACGCACACGCACGCACGCACAAACACGTGCATACATACACAAGGATTAAGTACAGCGAAGAAAAACATAAACAATATCTAAATAATATCAGTTAATTAAATAATAAGCAATGAGACTGTTAATTTCAATTTAAGTCAATTAGATAGTTGATAATTTGAATTTTTAACACATAATACAATAATATAACCATATAACAGGTTTTTTTATAACTAGGAGATTATTTATATGAACATCATATGAACATCATTGATTGAAAAAATAAGATCAACAATCTTTAGAACAATCGTTAGAAAATGGTTAAGATTAGTTACAAGCAATTTATTTATGAAAACAGCTATATGATGAAGCTGAAACTATATGTTCTGGCAGCGAATTCCATAGTCGAACTGTTCTGTTGCAGAAAAAGTTTTTGATGACATTGTTAGTCAAGTTATGTTTACGCAGTCTTCTACGATGACCACGAGTTGAAAGATATTGTGAGGGAAAAAACTGATTGTTCAAATCGGTGATTACGAGGTTGTTTAGTATTTTATATACAAGACAAAGGTCGAAAATAATTCTTCGATGTTCCAAGGTTTGGATTCCAACAACATTCAAACGAGATAAATACGGAAGATGAGGAATTGAAGTAATGGCTTTCGTGAATCGTTTTTGAACACCTTCGACTTTGCATGGATTCCAAACTGAAGAACAATATTCTAACAAAGGTCGGACGTAAATACAGAAGGCTTTAGTTAATAGCTCTTTATCTTTTGACGTGATACATTTACTGACCAAACGAGCACGAAGCTTTGGGCGGGATGTCGTTGTTATGATAATTAAAATACTCGAAACGTGATGTTCAATCGAGTATCGACTTACGGTTGTAACATTTCTAGATTTGTTGGGAGAAAGTGGTAGCTGCCAACTCCATGCGATAACGTTGTTGACGAACTGCTGTAAATGTATTGAATTTGATGAACTGGTATATAGTTTGATGTCGTCGGCAAAAAGCAGCATCGAAACAGAATGCGAGGAAATGCAATCGTCGATATCGTTGATGAAATTAAGAAAAGAGTGGGGCCTAAAACTCCTTGGATTTGATAATTTATTTTGAATCTGAACTATTTAAGAACGGTCGTGTAAAAAATCAGCCAACCACAAGAGCAAATTACCAGACCTTTTTAGCCTTTGTAAGACTTTAACTTAACATAACAGTTTGGCATGCGAAACTAAATCAAAGTCTTTTTGAAAGTCAAGATAAATTGTGTCACATCTTTTCTTCCTTTGACAAATCAACATCATATTATTTAAAAATTGTAGGAGGTTGGTAGATGTTGATCTGGCAGGCCAAAAACCATACTGAAATTCGGAGATTAAATTATTATTTAACAAATGAGGCAAGATATTTTTGTTGATGATTTTTTCCATAACTCGGGAAGATGAACAGGTGAACGATATTGGTCTGTAGTTGCTTGGATTGGTGGGACCCTTTTTGTGGATTGCAGTAACAATAGCTGTCTTCCATTTTGTTGGCAGAGGATTAGTTTTAAATGATGTGTCAAATATGTGGCATAATGGAAGAGCCAAACTTGATGCACACATTTTGAGAAAGATATTTGGCATACCATCCGGGCCTACTGAAGATGTATTTTTTTTAATTTACGAAGTGCGAGGTAAATAGTATGTGGAGTAAAGCAAATGTCTTCTAATAATTTTTCAGTACGACTTAAAAGTGAACAAATGCCGTTGTCGTCGATTGTAAAAACGGATGAAAAATATTCATTAAATGCATTAAGCCATCACAACTGGATCGTTAGTTACATTGTTATTGTTAATTAGCAGACTGGTAATCTGAGGTTTAGAAAACAGTTTGGTGATACGTCCGGTATTGTTATATGGTGCAGAAACATGGCCAATGTCGACCAAACTGGAACAACAACTTCAACGAACCGACATAAAAATGCTCCAATGGATGCAACGAATTAGTCTGAAGGACCACATCAAATCCACCGAAATCCTGCATCGTGCTGGTTTAGATGATATAAAGGACGAATGCCTGAATGCCGGAAGGACGAATGCCGGAAACACCGTCTGCGGTGGTTTGGTCTGATCGTCTAATTTGGCGCAAAAAGTTGATGGCAAAGAAAACAACGTCCTACCTCGGAAAACCGGGACTCTGGACGCAAAACGAAGATTGATTGATTGAATTATATCTTGTACACTTTATATAACTTTCTCATTATGCCATATTTAACCTACTGTGTTTCAGTCTGGGGTTATACCACTTAATATAATTAACATATATTGAATGTATGTCAAAATTATTTTAATAGAATATTTCTTAATTTAAATAAATTTCAAAATGTAAATCACTGTTATAATTTATGTAACATTCTTAAATTTTAAGATTTATTTATTCTTAGATCTTTATTATATTTCTATGGATTGTTGAAATTATGTCCATATTTATCTGACCAAATAAATCGATTTTCGTATAATTGTTCTGTGCACCTCACGAAAATTCCTGAGTTCCATCTATCCACTCCACGCACAAACCTTTTTAATAATTCTTTTTTTCCTGTATCCATCCGATTATGGAACTCGCACCGACTGATGTTAAAAACATAGTTACGTTATGCTTATATAAACGAAGAATTGTAGATCTGATTAAATCTGGTTTTTTCTCATTTTTTACTGCGGTATAAATGGGCTAATATTCATGTATATAAATGTATGTAGATATATATATATATATTTTTGTATGGGTATGCATATATAACAAGGCCGTATTTAGGGAGGGGGGGGTTACGGGTTCAAACCCCCCCAGAAATTTTGTGTATGATTTAAAAATATTTATATTTAATAAAGTTTAATCCGTCAACATATGTAGGTTACTCGAACTATAAATCGAACTCACGACTTTCACAGGACGAGACGATGTTTTACACCAAAGATATTCTATAAAGAAGTTATTAAATATAATTTTTTATACTTTGTTTAAAAAAAAGCGCGGTTTCCTTCCATTTTAATATTAGGTAAGGTACTCAAACAAATTAAAGCTATAAAATATTTTTAATTAATTTAAAGAAAAAGAATGTTTAAGCAAAGTAGTTTGATGAAATTTTTTAAGAACAATAATAAAAATATTGACGATAATATTAGTTTTTGTGGCAATGAAAAGGAAGAAAATCGTAAAAGAAAACAATTAGGTTAGTTAGTTCAGTCATGAAGTAGTAAATCTTTTTCTTTTATTATCTAATTAGTTTCGCTAATAAATTTAATACAAATACAAGTATTTAGTTTTAAAATGAACAACTTTTACGCTATGTTAAACATTTTTTAACAATTAATTTAATGTATTTTATCATAAATGAACATTTTAGATATTAAAACGTAATCAAAACTGAAAACAGGTGCAAATGTAGATGAAGCAGTTTTGGATGATCCCCAGCCTTTAGATTCAGGTAATTATGTAGGAAATTCAATGACGGATCACGAAAAAGAAATTGTGTTGAAGTCATTGTGGACGCCTCCTAAAACCTGTTGAGTCTAAACGGCGTCTTAAATTTCAAATGCGTTGGCTTGAACGCTTTTCCTCGCTTTCATACCCTGACAAAAAAGAGGGAGCGTTTTGTAAATTTTGTGTTATATTTGGTAGGGAACATGTGGGAAAAGGTGCTAACCAAAAAGTTGGGTTTTTAATAAGTGGAAAGATGCCATTGAACAGTTTGAAGCACATGCAAACATCAAATACCACAAAACATCAGTGATAATGGCTAAAAACTTTCTTTCCGTGGTTGAAGGGAGACAAAAATCTGTAACCAAGTTAATCGATTCAGAAATCTTGAGAAAAGCCCGAGAAAATCGTGCGAAATTGATTCCTATTATTGAAACAATAATATTATGTGGTCGTCAAGAAATTGCACTAAGAGGTTCGAATGAAGTCGGTCCAGTCTTACACAACAATGTCAATGTTAATGATGGAAATTTCAGGACTTTGTTGAGATTTCGTGTTTCATCCGGGGATATTATTCTTGAAAATCATCTAAACTCAAGTGCTGGAAACGCTTTGTATACTAGCCCGGCTATAGAGAACTCGATTATACATTTCTGTGGTGAACTAATTCAAGAACAATTAGTAAAAAAGATTAATTCGGCCTGCTCATTTAGCCTCCTTGCCGATGAGACAACCGATGTAGCTAATAATGAGCAACTAACTATTTGTTATCGCTATTTGGATAACAGCATATTAAAAGAGGATTTTTTCGAATTTGTTATAGTTAACGATTTAATCAGGACGAGGTTTGGCAGCCACTTTGATAGAGAGATTAATGGCATGCGGCATTAACCAACAATTTTTAATAGGTATGAATTTATTTATTTATTTTCTAAACAATTGAATCATAATTCAATATTGTTTTATCAACAACTTCATTCTCACCAGGTCAAGGCTATGATG